GTGGATGCTGGAATCCGTGGATGGCAAGTCTGCAGATACTGAGGGCCTACTGTATTTACATTGTGATGATCCTGGAAGGAGCGAGAAGGAGGTGCAACCTGATACTGGTTCAACTGAGGCCAGGTGTCAGCCCTTGACTACCTCCTCAGCCTTCCCTTGGTGAAACATGAGACCTCAGGGGCAAAACCAGAGCCCTACCCTATATCAAAAGGGGTGCAGCTTCCAGTAGTTTTGAGAGGCGGATATGAATTTGGCTCTTGGACCTGCAGAAGTTGTCTACCCCTGCCTTGTACCATCATTTAATTTTATTTATTTATTTAATTAAACTATTTACAAACATTTATGTTTTGCCCTGTATCCAAAGTTCTAAGGGCTGCATAAGTGCTGTTAAATAAGGTAGCCTGCCTGCTGCAAAAATGGACAAGATCCTGTTTTTGCCTTTATCATGTGAAATGAACGGAAAAGCATCTGATGATATAAGAAATATGTTTAAACAGCATATGACTTCCTCTTTCTAGTATTTTATGTGCTTGATTTTTCATTTGTATCAATCATTCTAAAGGGGTAGAATTGACCCCCAAACTCATCAAAATAAAATCATTAATTTTTTTCACTACATTAAGCCATGACAGTTTACCCATTGGTTGAAGAGTGCATGGAACATGAAGTGGCAGGATACTAAGACAAAAGTTTGAAGGTTTTTTTTTAATGTGGGGTAGTAAGGTTGACTTTACTTGGCTATACTTTCAAGTGAAACACTGGAAAATACAATAAAACTAGATGGATGAATTTTAAAAGATGTTATAGCACATTGTAATATAATGTGAAGCATGCACATTCTTTGTCTTGTGCTTATTGCCTGTAAAGACTTCTTTTATATTTTGTTATCCTGTGGGGTTTTACTAGGGCTTTCATCTCTTGATGTAGAAAACAGTTGTTTGTAAATGAATGGTGTAGCAAAAATTAAAAGATATTTATTTCAAAATGGGAGTAGATATGAGAGTTGATTTGTATCAGGAAATGTTTAGGTGTTATCACCACAAGTCTGTAGCAGTTTCGATGCTTTTCACCCCAAGTGCATTAATTAGATCAGAAATCTTCTGATTGTATAGAATAGGATGACATACTTAGATAATAATGGAAACTCTATTCTTTTCTTCAGGCTTACCCTGACAAATAGCAAGGCTTGCTCTGGTTGATTGTTTCTGCTGCTCCTCCTCCAAAATAGAGGGAATTGTGTTGTTGGTTTTTTTTGGGGGGGGGGGAAGACAATTTCAACCAAAACAGTATTCTGGTTCACTTTCGTCTTAATCTTTCTTTCAGGAATCTTCTGATTGTATAGAATGGGTTAATTCTTGCAACAAATTTTAGCATTTTAAGGTTGTAGCTTGTCAAGTTTATTTTTGTTCTAAAATAGTAAAGAAAATAAAAGTCCTTTGCTGTTTTTTAAAGTAAGGATTAATAGCACATCTGTTTTCTTAATCTTGTTAGGTTAACTGTTAAAAGAGTCACCTTTTAATCTGTATGAAAGATAAAATTGATGGCCATTGAGCCATTAAATCTGAAACCAAACACGCTAAGTGGGCTTTCAGGCAACAGTGTGATTTCATCCTATTGTCAAGAGGCTTGTTACTTTAAAAGAATTACTTTTGTGCATTGTAACTAAAGATGTGTCCCTCTTTTAAATGGAGGCAGGATTGACAAATGTTGACAAATGGCTGGTTTCATGCTCCTGAAGGCACTCTTAAGGGACATGGAGCATTGTGTCACACAGGGCCTCTCCAATGATGCAGAGAGCAGATAAATTTAGAGTCCCATCTTCTCATTGTTACATGCTTTCATGGAAAGTCTATGGAATATTATATAGCCATAGACACAAAAGTTGATCATTTTTTCATTGGTCCCTGCTCCAACGCATACCCTAGTTAGTAGGCAGTGGCACATTTGGCAATCAACAAGAGGGAAGGTGAAAAACAGAGAAGGTACCAGACATCTTGTTGTCTGCTCTCTAAAATGTCCAGCCAGCATGGCCATGAAGGCTTCTGGATTTCATTCCACAAAATACCTTTCTGGAGTTCCAATTGTTTTTATATACCTTCAGTTATTTCCTGCCAATGAGCAGCCAGTCAAGGGTGCTGGTTGTATTAGAGTTATAGAGGTTAGCAAAACGTCTGAAAAGATTGTCTTCGGGACTCTACAAAACAGCGCTTCAAAAGGAATTTCTCAAAGTGTCATATGTGCCAATAAACAGTCTTTTGTTAAATTCAGTTGGAATTCACTCAGGATTGATAGGCTAAAATAAAAAGTGTGTGTGCCTTATAATTTACTGAGAGTCCTAGAATATGATCCCCATTGAAATTGCAGTGTTTCTTCAACAAATCGCTGTGAATTGCTGGGTTTTCTCAGGGCCAAATATAAAAAGGATTCATATTAAGGTTGAAAACCAGCACCTCAGTGTAGAATATTCCTTTGTTAGAGATGTGTGTATATGTTTGTGTAAGAAGAGTAATGAATATTAGGGTATTTCAGCATTGGCTGTTTTGATGGTTTGTGGTTGCCTAATTTGTGGATTATCCCAAAAGTGCATGCTGTTTTCCCCCTTCATTTATGTTTGTGGATGTTGTCTATGTGGAGAGGTAATTGTTGTGTGCCTTCAAGTCCTTTCTGATTTATGACAACTCTATAGTGACTGTATCATTTTTTTTTCTTTGGAAGATTTGTTCAGAGGGGTTTGCCTTTGATTCGGGCAAGCATGTGACTTGCCAAAAGTCGTCCAGTGGGTTTTCATTGCTGAACGGGGATTCAAACCCTGGTCTCCAGAGTTATAGTCCAGTGCTCAAACCACTATGACACTTTTGCTCTCTGTGGAGAGGTGCACTAACATATCCTCCAGCCATCTTGATTTGTCAGGGACTATCCAGATTAATGATAGTGGGACAAAGTTAGTGTAGATTTTCCTGCATTATATTAATCTGGCATAAAGTGAACAGATCTCGTCCTTTTCCAGGACGTCATGCATTTCAGTCTTCTGTCCAGGAGGAATGTCAATATATCCTCCATTTTGAGCATGATTAAGAAACATGAATGTATATTTATGTGCATGTTGTAAGCTTTTATTTTATAATGTCCTACATTTTTGAATGTCCTACATTTCATGGTCTCTTGTCCTCCTCTTAGGGTTATGACATCTGGTCACCCTGCTTTGGTACCGAGGTAGAAAAATGCTCCATTCTATTTCAGAATGCAGAAAATGAAAGTTTAGGGAGGGGAAGCCAAGGAGAACTGACACAGATGTCCTATTAAGAGTGTAGGAGGCAGGAAGCTCAGTTGTAAAATACTTTGCCAACCTCTGGCAATTCTTTAGCTGTTGGAAGCATACATTTTCCAGAGCAGTAGCTTTGCTTGAAGCAAATTAGCTGTTGGAAGGGGAGAATAGTTATAAAATCTTAATTTGCCGCGTTAAATGTTGCATACAAGTTCTCACCTCTGCATAACTAACTGTAAAATCATAATTGCCTAATCCTCAGGGGTGTAATTACAGTATATTCTGCTTCTGCAATATGCATTTGTGGTGATGTTTCATCTGTACATACTATGTGTATATTTGCAAAATCTGTTTAATGAGGATATGTGTGCAGAAAAGCTCATTTTAAATGTTATATGACTAATTTTCCAGGGCCAACACCTTATGAGAGCCTAAGGCATTCTGGCTCGTGCATTGTTACATTTTTTTGTCTCTTAAAAGTTATCTTAAAATCTGTTAATTGCATACAGTACTTTATGCCCAAGCTTTCCCATTATTCAGAGCTCAGTGACTTGCCTTAGGCAGCCCATTTTAAAGTACTGCTAAAGGATACAAACTAAATCATCATTTTAGTTGTTTTATATCTTAACTATTGAGTATAAGCCGTTTGGATTTTCTCATTCAAATGTAAAGATATATTAGGCTACCAATGTGGTACAGGCTGAGTCTTCCTTATTCTAAATGCTTGGGACCAGAAGTGTTTTGGATTTTGGAATATTTGCATATACATATTGAGATATCTTAGAGATGGAACCCAACTCTAAACATGGCATTCATTTATGTTTCATATATACCTTATAAACATAGCTTGAAGATAATTTTATACATAATATTTTAAAATAATTTTGTGCGAGAAACAAAGTATGTGTATGCTGAATCATCAGAAAGCAAAGGCGTCACTATCTCAGCCACCTATGTGGACAATTTTAGCATGGAGTTGGCCCTCTGCTTTCGCAGGGGATCCGTTCCGGAACCCCACCCCATGAAAACGGAGATTCGGCAATATTCAAGCCCCATTGAATGAAGTGAAGTGAGTCTTCTGGAAAAATTTGGTTTTTTTCCCCTTGGAGAACTTTCCAGTGCCCTAAATGAAGTTTGATATGATTTAGAATGTTTATTTTCCAAACAAAATGCTTTCATGTCCTAACAGCCCTAAATTATTTGAACTGAAATATGTGACAAGGAAAAAAAAAATCATACTTCACATTTAATGCGATTTCAAGATTGTAAGCAAACAAATTGAAAGGCATTTTTGTGGCCTCTCCAGAGCCTCTCAGTGGTCAAAAATACATTTTTTTTAAAAAAAGCCCCCCCCCTCCAAATTCTAGGAATTTGTTTGTGCACCCCACTGGGTGATTTTAGGCCAAAGAAGATCCTTTAAAAAATAGAGGTGACTTCTGGTCAATTCCTGTTTTGAAAAAAGCTGTCTCCTGGAACCCTAATGGTCCATGGCATCCTAAACACATGGAAGAAATGCCTCCCATATCTCCTAGGGCATTTGGGTGCAGAAATTGAGCTTGTTTTGGTGGGGGTGTGACCCCTCAATCTCCTAGAAGAATAGTGTGCCCCCCTGCTTTTGTACAGCATTCCCAACTCTATTGTCCAGATAATTTGAGCTGCAGCTTCCTTCAGTTCCTTTAGTGTGCACCGAGTTGGGAAAGGCTGCTTTTGTACTGAAATGCATGTTAAAAGCCAGGATCTGAAGAGGTGTGGGATGAGTTTTATGAGCCCAAGAGTTTTTTGAGACCTCCTTTTCTTGAGCTGAGGGGGTCTTGAGAGCCGTCCATTATACACCAGGGAGATTAGTTGGTCATATTAAAAATTTAAGCACTCCACTAACTTTCTGTGAGCCAAAGTAGCCCTTTCTATCATCATTTATAAAACAAAGATCACATGTTCACTGAAAAATATTAATGGTACTAATCTTTTTTCTGTGTTTGTGTTCAAAGATAGCTACTTGTTTGCACAGAAGTTTGGACAGGACACTAAGATGATTATTTTCTTCCTTTTTCAGTTTCTCTGTTTGAAGAATATCAGAACATTCCTTTCAGCCTGTTGTGAAACGTTTGGGATGAAGAAGAGTGAACTTTTTGAAGCATTTGACTTGTTTGATGTCCGTGATTTTGGAAAGGTACTTATAATATTACCCTTCAACACCAGTATCTGTGAATGTTTAAAATTATTGCATTAATGATTAATTAGGGTTTTGCTGTTAATGGTTATTCTTGATTTAGGACATTTAGCATTGTATTTCTTATGGTATTCAAGACCCTCATTTCTTCACAGGAAGACATGTTTTAAGACATAACCACAGATACCATGAGGGTGAATTTATACACACTTCCCTGTAAAGCAATGATTCCCATCCTTTGGTCCTCCAAGCATTTTGGACTTCAATTCCCAGAAGCTCCAGCCAGCATGGCCAACAGGAATTTCTGGGAACTGAAGTCCAAGATAGTTGGAGGACCAAAGTTTGGGAACCACTGCTTTAATGTATGCTAATATTTGAAATAACTTTATTTACTACATTGTTAATAATTACCTGTTGTCACTGTTTTGTTACAATCTAAAGTTGAATGAAATTGTAGGTGATGAATTGGGGAACACCTCTGGAATTATTAGTTTAAAATGAGTTTTCTGAGACTCCAGAATGTTTTTTAAGGGGAAAATATCTACATTTTTTCTTTTGCAAGAACAACAACAACAACAACAACAACTGTTTAAAAGCTGCTGGGTCTCCTGGTAATCTTGGGCTGCATCTGCAGTACAGGAATAATCTAGCTTCATACCACTTTAACTACGATGGCTTTTTGGATTTTTTTTGGGGGGGGCAATATTTTCAAGCCATGGATGATTGAATCTGTGGATGCAGAATCCGTGGATACAGAGGGCCAACTGTATTAAAAAGATGCAGTACAGTTCTGCCTACTAGAGTTAATCTTCTATATTTTATTAGAATGGAAGCAGACAATTCATGAAGTCAAATGGACCACACCAGCTGCTGTATGTGCTGGGAATTGCTACCCTTTTGGGTACCAGCTAGCATCTTAAGATATGCCTCTCTTTTAGTTGTTTGCAAGCTGATACTTCTCTGTCCTTTCCTTTCCTCCTAGTTCCCTAGAGGTGGTTTCATTCTTTGTTGTCTTCTACATGAGTGACATGTGGGACAAGGGTGTAGCTGGGGACAATGACAAGTGAGGACATTGCCCCTCAATGAGAATTTGTCACCTAAATGAAATTTTTGTTCAGTCCCCAAATTCTAACATCGCAGTAACTCAAAAATGTAAAAGTTGAGCATTTAGGAATACAGTTAAGGCACCCCAAAGAAAAAGGTCAGGTAAGGGAATGTGAACCTAGCAATTATGAGTTTTGGGTGTGAACAATGACTCATCCTGTGCAATGCTAGAAATATGGGGAGTGAAGGAAAAAGTCATTAGGGATAAAATTCTTATTCATGGAGTTGTGCCCCCATTTTGTGTCCCCCCCCATAGTTACACCCCTACTGTGGGATGATATACCTTAAAAAAATTCAGAGCCTCCTTTGAGGACAGAAGTGATTATCTGTATGTATGCATGAATGTTTTTCTAAATCACAGTAGTCAGAAGTTTGTCTTTACCAAGAATTGCTTTAATCAAGTGACTTATGATTATTTCTAAAGAAAGCAGAACAAACTCCACTGCTGACAAGTGAAGTGATTTTCTTCCCCAGATTAAGAGCCTATTTTTACAAACAATAACAAAACATATTTGGCATACAAAATTACATCTAGAGTTTCTTTTCCTTACATGAAATGAAAGATCTTCCTCCTGTTGATTTTTAGGGAAGCTGTTAACAGCTTTTTATGGGATCTGATGGTGGAGCTCACAGGCGGTGAATGGTAGCTGTAGAATTATATGATTCTTCTGTG